AGTTTAGTCTTGACAATCATATCATCAATATATGCCTCGACGTTTCTCCCAATCTGATCAAAGAACACTGTGTTTATCATTCGTTGGAAGGTAGCCGGGGCATTCTTAAGACCAAACGGCATGACCGTGTAACAGTATAATCCCTGATCAGTGACGAAGGCCGTCTTCTCCTGATCTTTCTTCCATAAAGGAATTTGATGGAAACCAGAATAGGCGTCCATGAAACTCATCAAGGCATGGCCGGCTGTTGAGTCGACTAGATTATCAATTTTAGGCAGAGGGTAACTGTCTTTGGGGCACGCCTTGTTTAAGTCTGTGTAGTCTACACACATTCGCTAGGTGCCATTCGGCTTTTTAACAAGCACCACATTTGCAACCCAGTCTGGGAAGTAACATTGCCGAATGAACCCTGCATCAAGTAATTTTTTGACTTCGGCGGCTGCCGCCTGACTTCTTTCTTCACCATGGTTCCGCTTCTTTTGCCGTACCGGCTTCTTTTTCGGATCCACAGCGAGTTTATGTACTGCCAGATCAGGACTAATGCCTGGCATTTCATGGACTTCAAATGCAAAGATGTCTTTGTATTCTTTCAACAGGTTGTGAAAGTCGTCACCAAGGTTTCTTAGAGCAGTCGTCCCAACTTTGACTGTTCGGTCAGGACGTGAGTCGTCTAAGATCAGGTCCGCATGCTCACCAGCCGGCTGAGGGCGGAACTCATCCGGCCGCTCCTCTGCCAATGATTGCTATTTTCTTGCTTTTCTTGCGGACTCTGTCTGGGACACCTTTCTCTTTTTGTCGCCTGTTTCTTGAACAGGCGCACTCTCCTTGACATTGTCAAGGTCTGTTTTTTCTCCACTTGACCCAGTGGCCATAACAGTGGGCTTGACATCCGAGAGATAGCACTCTCGGGCCATCCTCTGATCTCCCCTTAGGGAGCCGACTGTTCCATTATCCCTCTCAAACTTAAGTAGCATAAGAGACGGGATTATAACAGCCTTGGAATTATTCAGGGTTGATCGACCCAGAATCATGTTGTAGGCCGAGAGTTCCTCTACTACTAGGAACCGGACTACCATGTGTCGTCCTTCCCCTTTTTCGCCCAGGCGAATGGGTAAATCTACTCGTCCCAGTGGGTGGACGACACCTCCTCCAAACCCTATTAAAGGGTGGGAGGCCGGATGTATGCAGTCCGTCTGATATTTCAGTTTTGACAGACATTTGCTGCTGATGAGATCTGAGGAGCTCCCGGTATCTATGAGGATTCGGCCAACTCTCTGGTTGGCCACTTTACATTCAATAACGAGAGGGTCGTCATGCGGCCCCCTTACCCCTCCTAGATCCTCTTCAGTGATGACAATCTCAGGGAATGTATATTTGGACGGCCGTTCTTGGTGAACGGAATTTACATCTAACCGCCTTATATTATCCTTATTGCCCCTAATAGTGGGGCCGCCTCCTGAGAAGCCGCCTGCAATGGTGTAGACGACTGCATCATCTGTATCGGAACTGTCGGCCTGTTGATTCTTTTTGGCCGACTGCTTTTTTGAGGAAGTGTTCCCCGTAGATTTCTTGACATAAGTGTCAAGATCACCTTGATCAGCCAAGCGGTCTAGGTACCGCATGAGACTGATGCAGTCATTGGTGTGATGACCAACGTCATCATGATAAGCACAGATTTTGTCTTGGTTCCGGTTGCTTGCAGAACCCTTCATGGGGAGCGGCTTCTCAATTGAGAACCGTCCCTTTATTTCTTTTAGGATAAACTGGTTATCCTTGTTAAACACATACTTTGGGGAGTATGGTTTGAATTCTTTTTTCTTTTTCTGAGTCGGCTGTTTAGAGGAATCAGCCGCCCAGACCTCTTTTCTTTTCTCATCTTTGTTGGACGACTGTTTCTGTCGTCCCTCTCTTTTGTCGAACCTCTTCCCGTCCGACTGTTTTATCGTACACAGATCAGTCGCCTGTATATAGGCTTCTGCTTCAATCAAGGCCTCTTGAAGAGTCGCCACCCTTTTTCGAACTAAATCAAATTTGAAGGTAGACCCGTCTTTGAGACCTCTAAAAAAGTCAGTATAAGCTACCTCATCCGGTAACCCTTGAATCTGTATTCTCATCAGGTTGAACCGCCTGATGTAAGAACGAAGCCCCTCCTTCTCGCCCTGCTGAATTGTTCCCAAATCAAGGGTCGTTTTCTTCGCAGGGATGTTCATGGCGAAGTTGGAGGCAAATAAGTAGGCAAGCATCCTGAAGCTGTTTACACAACCAGTCGGCAGGTTGCCGAACCATTGCTGTGCAATTCCCTTGAGAGTCGCTGGGAAACACTTGCACCAAGTGGGATCATCCAACCCTTGAAGGTACATCAGGTTGGTGAATGCCATCAGATGGTCTTCTGGGTTAGTAGTGCCGTCATAGGCGCCTACTAGAACATTTTTTACTTTGGCCGGCTGAGCGGCTTCAGTAATTTCCTTGGAGAAGGCCGACGGCTGTTCACCAAGTCTAAGCAGCCGTAGCTGCCAGTCCATAGGTTGGACGTTTTTTGCTGCAGGTCCACCAAATGGAGGTGGCTGCATAAAATACTGTTGTTGCGGCACAAATGGTAAGTTTGGTACCGCCTGGGCACTATGAAAGCCGGACTGACGGGAGGTGCCGCCTGACTGACTCTCATGGTACGACTGAGTATGCCTCATCGAGGCATTTCGCAAACTGTCTTGAAAATTTGAAGTAGAAGCCGACTCTGATAATCGGTCACTCTTCTTCTGCTCTAGCAGGAGCCGAGCATCTGTGAACGTTTGCTTTGACCCGTCCGCCTGAATATGACGAACCGGTTTCCTATTTCCCGTAGGATAACGGAGTTTTGTGAAATCAAGAGCAGGTGGCTCCCGCTTCTTGGATTTAGGATGAGGAGTCGCCTCTTGCCCTTGAACTGGCTTCCTCTTCAGTGAAGTGGAAGGTTTCTTGGCCGACTGCTCTTTGACTGAAGCAGGCGGTTTTTTGTTGATCAACTCTTGAATCTCTCCCTTGAAGTCCCTCATGAAGGTCATGAGTTCGTTCCTTGTGATGGGAGCAGACCCATCAGTCGGCTGTTGCCGAGCAAGCGGTGCGCCTGCTGGCTCGCTTCCTGTTTGAAGATGCTCCCGTTCCCTCCTTTCGGTATGACGGGTACGTCGGGCCCTTAGGGTCCCGTCTGGAGCTGTATGAGTTTCAACTTCAAATTCACTTTCGGTATCATGGTCCGACTGAACTTGAGGGTCGTCTAGGGGACGCCTCTCTTCTGGAGTCGGTACAGACTTGGATGCCATCTCTGAAGTACTCTCCCCACAGACGGCGCCAAATGTTTCGGGGTTTTCTGATGTCCTGCGGGAGAGTTACAATTCCGAGACTGGAACCGGACGCCTGTACCTGCAAAATAACGGAGACTCCTGAGAGCTCCGCCTCCAACGGTCAAGTTAGTACCTGATTAAGGAGTAATTAATACGGAAATTAAAGTAATAAGATCTCTCTAGGTGAGAGTGCTTAGTGTTGGTAATCTGCGTCGTTAGCGAGATTAGCCGGTTGTTGGTGTTCCGTAATATCTCTGTTCTTCTCTGCTTGATTACCTGATTTCTCGATTCGTGTGTCCCCCAACTAATGAGGATTAATTAAGTATTTATATCCTTGAGAAGCGTGCCACTTTCTAGGTTTAAGGTAAACCTAGGGCTGATCGGGCCTCTAGACTGGATTGGGCCTTGATGGCCGGTTTTCCCATTTGGCATGGGTGGACACGTGGCGTGCCTCGATTGGTCCGTAGAGGACGTATCTGTGATTGACACGTGGCAGGCTCCTATTGGCCTTCGTGAAGGACCCGTGGCGGAACCTGGTTGGTCCACTTGTCAGACGGTGATTGGTGGATAAAAATCCCCTAATCACTACTTGTGGTCCGTGATGAAGTTGAGTGGTGTAACCCATGCCCTAGGCCTTCTTAATATTGTTAATCACATCTTAGAATTAGTTGATTTGAATTAGAATAGTGTGACGTAATACCAACTTAAAACCCCCGACTTAATCTAGTTTGTTTAAACAATAACATTTGGTGGTTGATTCAACGCCTCTCATGGGTTCGACCCTTTCTTGCCCTTGCTACTAGTTTAGTAGGATCGAGTTAGGTCTTATTTCTTGATAGGTTGACGACGTCCTATCAAGTTTTGGCGCCGTTGCCGGGGAGGCAAAGTCACATTGAATAAGATATTGTTGAATGAGTCTAGATTTGTGTATATGTATATAATCTTCTTATTTTGTTTTTGTTTAAGCGTGTTTACTTTGTGATAGTCATTGCTAACGTTTTCCTTAGCTTTGTTTGACTGTGCATGACACGGAGGAGTAAGCAATCACCGCTTATCCCCGTAGATCCGGAGTTAAATAGAACTTTGAGGAACGTAAGAAGGCTCCTACAAGGCACGCCGGAATTTTCTCTAGCTTATACGGATTCCGAGTCGGAGGATAATCTTGACAACGAGCAAGAGATGGCCAACCCACCGCCTCCTCCACTTCTACAAGACTATGACCACCCCGATGCATTCCAACTACGGAGTGGCATACTTCTTCCCACCACCAATGCAAACAACTATGAGTTCTCTCCTCAACTCATAAGGATGATCCAAAGTGAACAGTTCGGGGGGAGTGCAAATGAGTGCTCTCTAGCTCATTTAGACAACTTCCTTGAGTTGTGCACTACCATCAAGCAAAACAACCTCACGGAGGAATTCATTTGGATGCATATGTTTCGGTTCTCTCTTAGGGACAAGGCTAAGTGTTGGTTGAGGTCCGTGAAAGAAGGATCCTTAACAACATGGGAAGAGGTTACCAAAGCATTTCTTGGGAAGTTTTGTCCGCCCGAAAAGACCGCGGAATTGAGAAGGAATATTACAAGCTTCACTCAAGAGGATGATGAAACCTAAGGTGAAGCATGGGAAAGATTCAAGGATCTAAAGAGGAAGTGTCCAAACCATGGGTTGCCTTTATGGATGATTATTCAAAGCTTCTACGACGGTCTCACTCCTACCTCAAGGGCCAATCTTGACAACGAAGCCGGTGGTAGTCTTAAAAAGCTACCGGTGGAAGAAGCCGAGAATATGATTGAAGAAGTTGCAAGGCATTACGCCTATAGATATGATAGAAGAGAAAGTCAACCGAAGAAGAAAGGTATGCATGAGTTGAGTGCAATAGATCTCATTGCCTCAAAGTTTGATATGCTAGCTCACAAGCTAGACCAAGCAACCTCCTCAAGCGGTACCTCCTCTTCACAACCACAACCACAAGTCATTTCTTGTGAGACTTGTGGGGGTAATGATCACATGGCTTCATATTGCAATGCTACTAATGAGCAAGTTGCGGCCGTGAACCAAAGAAATGAGCAACCTTTCAATCAAGGTTGGAGGCAACAAAACCAAGGGTGGAGACAACCCAGTCAAAACCAACAATCCAACTACAACAACCCTCCTCAAAACATCTACAACCAAAATCAACAAAATCACCAAGCCCCATACCGCCATCCAAACCAACAAAGACAACAATTCAACCAACAACCTCCTCCACCCCAAAAGACTTCCCTTGAGGCCGCTCTTGAGTCTTTCATAAATCAACAAGGGAAGAGCAATGCAGAAATGAGCTCCAACATCCAACAACTTCAAGCGCACAACAAAAAATTTGAGAATCAACTAGCTCAAATTGCACAACAAGTTGGGAGTTCTACCTCCAATGCTAGTGGTCAATTTCCAAGCTCAACGGTTGTGAACCCGAAGGAGCATGTCAAGGCTATCACATTGAGGTCCGGGAGAGGGTATGAAGGTCCGGTAATGAGTGAAGATGTGCCACAAAAGAGAGATGAGGGTGTGGAGGTGAGAAGTGAGAATGATGTTGAAAATGAGGTGGTAGAAGTTGAGAGAAAAGAAAAAGAAAAGAGTGTTGAGGGAGAGACAAAGAAAGGAGAGGGAGTTGAAGTTGAAGTGGAGAAACCCCCAATGAGAGTCTACAAGCCACCTATTCCTTTCCCTCATAGGTTGGTAGAGAAAAAATTGAATGAGAAGTTTTCAAAGTTCCTTGAGGTCATGAGAGGGCTCCAAGTGAACATTCCCTTTCTTCATGCTATGTCACAAATGCCTACATATGCGAAATTTTTAAAAGATCTCTTGTCCAACAAAAGTAGGCTTGAAGAGAGTGCAACCATCTCCCTTCCAATGGAGGTGAGCGCAATCATTCAAAACAAGCTTCCCCGAAAGCTTGGTGACCCGGGTAGCTATGCAATTCCGGTGAAGATTGGAGATATGGAAGCCATGGATGCTCTTTGTGATCTTGGGGCAAGTGTAAGCTTGATGCCCTTCTCAATTGCGAAAAATTTAAAAGTTGGTGAGATGAAGCCAACAAGAATCTCAATACAATTAGCCGATCGTTCGGTTAGATTACCAATGGGAATACTTGAAGATGTACCGGTACAAGTGGGAAGAGTTTTTGTACCTTGTGACTTTGTGGTGATGGAAATGGAGGAGGACAACAAGGTTCCTCTCATTTTGGGAAGGCCGTTCTTGAACACGGCGGGAGTGGTAATTGATATGAAACAAGGCAAGCTAACATTGAATGTGGGAGATGAGAAAATTTCTTTCTCATTCTCGCAAGCCATGAGGAAGCCTATGTATGAGGATATCAATAGAATCGATACTCTTGACCGAGAAGTGGAGGAATTGAAGATGATGAACAATAGCAAAGATACTCTACAAGCGATCCTCACGGAAAGTTTGTACAATGATGATGATGAAGCTAAGGGGTACAAGTTGTTGCTAGACCAACCCCTACATGGCAAGGCAAGGGAGTTTGAAGCACTTAAGGTGGAGGTAAAAGAGGAGAGGTCTACGCCTCCTCCTAAGGTTGAACTTAAACCCCTTCCCCCTTCACTTAAATACGTTTTTCTTGATGATAATGAGACTTATCCCGTTATTGTCAATACCAACCTTGATGACACTTCCCTTGAGAAACTCCTAGTTGTGTTGAGGGAGTATAGGAGTGTCATTGGGTATGCCATTGATGACATTAAGGGGATAAGTCCCACAATATGCATACACAAGATTTTGCTTGATAATGATCATGACTCCTCAATTGAGCACCAAAGAAGGCTCAACCCCAACATGAAAGAAGTTGTTAAAAAAGAGGTTTTGAAACTTCTTGAAGCGGGCATAATCTACCCTATCTCTGATAGCAAGTGGGTTAGCCCGGTTCAAGTTGTTCCAAAAAAAGGGGGCATGACCATTATCAAGAACGATAAGGGTGAGACCATTTCTACAAGGTCGGTCACCGGGTGGAGAATGTGCATAGACTATCGAAAATTGAACAAATCCACTCGGAAGGACCACTTCCCTCTCCCCTTTATCGATCAAATCTTGGAAAGGTTGGCATCACATAGTCACTATTGCTTCTTGGATGGGTATTCGGGATTCCTCCAAATCCCTATCCTACCCGAGGATCAAGAGAAGACTACATTCACATGCCCTTTTGGCACCTTTGCTTATCGAAGGATGCCATTTGGATTATGTAATGCACCTTCTACATTTCAAAGGTGTATGATGTCTATCTTTTCCGACATGCTTGAATCATCAATCGAGGTATTTATGGATGACTTTTCTGTTTGCGGTTCATCTTTTGACACTTGCCTAAGTAATTTGATTAAAGTGTTAAAAAGATGTCAAGAGGTGAACCTTGTGCTTAATTGGGAAAAATGTCATTTCATGGTTGAAGAGGGTATTGTGTTGGGACATGTTGTTTCTAGTAGGGGCATTGAGGTTGATCGTGCCAAAATTGAGGTTATTGAGCGCCTCCCTCCCCCCACTAATGTGAAGGGTATAAGGAGTTTTCTTGGACACGCGGGTTTTTACCGCCGGTTCATTAAAGATTTTTCCAAAATCGCTAAGCCGCTCACTCAATTGTTGGTAAAGGATGCCCCTTTTGTGTTTTCTAATGATTGTTTGCTAGCCTTTGATAGGTTTAAGGAAGCTTTGATCACGGCTCCCATCATTCAACCACTGAATTGGGAGCTCCCTTTTGAACTCATGAGTGATGCTTCGGACTATGCCGTTGGATCTGTGCTTGGGCAAAGGAAGGATAAAAAGCTCCATGCCATCTATTACACTAGCAAAACTCTTGATGAAGCACAAAGAAACTACACAACGATTGAAAAAGAGCTCCTAGCCATCGTCCATGCTATCGAAAAGTTTAGGTCTTACTTGGTGGGCTCCAAAGTTATAGTCTTCACCGACCATGCGGCTTTGAAGTACTTGCTGTCCAAGAAGGACGCTAAACCAAGGTTGATTAGGTGGGTCTTGCTCTTACAAGACTACGATATAGAAATTCGGGACAAGAAGGGTGCCGAGAATGTAGTAGCCGATCATCTCTCACGGCTACCGATCGTAGAAGGTGAAATTGAAGCTTTGCCAATTGATGATTCATTCCCGGATGATCAATTATTCGCAATCATTCAAGCCCCGACCCCATGGTTTGCGGATATTGCAAATTACTTGGCTTGCTCCATCCTTCCTCCCGACCTCACCTATCAACAAAAGCGGAAGTTCCTCCATGATGTCCGCCAATACTTTTGGGATGACCCCTTGCTCTTTAAACAAGGTGTTGATGGTCTTTTTAGAAGGTGTGTCCCCGACGATGAAATTCATGAAGTTATCACAATGTGTCACTCCTCACCTTGTGGAGGACATATGAGTGCTAACAAGACATTGGCGAGAATATTGCAATGCGGTTTCTATTGGCCCTCTATGTTCAAGGACGTATGGGGAGTTGTTAAAGCTTGTGACCGGTGTCAAAGGACCGGTAATTTGTCAAGAAAGAATGAAATGCCTTTGAATAACATTTTAGAGTTGGAAATTTTCGATGTGTGGGGAATAGATTTTATGGGACCTTTCCCATCCTCTTTTGGGAACAAATACATTTTGGTGGCCGTCGACTATGTATCAAAGTGGGTTGAAGCGGTTGCATCTCCTACAAATGATGCTAAGGTAGTGGTCAAGTTGTTCAAGAAAGTCATTTTCCCTAGGTTTGGTGTGCCACGTGCCGTAATAAGTGATGGAGGATCGCACTTTGCAAAGCGATCTTTCAAGGCTCTCCTTGAAAAATACGGAGTGAGGCACAAGGTGTCATTGGCTTACCACCCTCAAACAAGTGGTCAAGCTGAAATTTCAAATAGGGAGATTAAGTTGATACTAGAGAAGACGGTGAATAGGTCAAGGAATGATTGGTCATCAAGGTTGGATGATGCTCTATGGGCCTACCGCGCCGCCTTCAAGACTCCTATTGGCACCACCCCTTACAAGCTCGTTTATGGGAAATCATGCCATCCACCGGTGGAACTGGAACATCGTGCGCACTGGGCTATCAAAACCTTGAATTTTGATATCCAATCCGCCGGAGAAAAGAGGATGCTTGACCTCCATGCCTTGGAAGAGTTGAGGTTAGATGCATATGAGAGTGCAAAGATCTACAAGGAGAAGACCAAAGCATGGCACGACAAGCACATCAATAAGAGAGAGTTCAAGGAGGGTGACAATGTCTTGTTATTTAACTCCCGGTTGAAGTTGTTTCCGGGAAAGCTAAAATCAAGATGGAGTGGCCCTTTCACCATTACAAAGGTATTCCCATATGGCGCCATTGAGATTTCCAACGACAAAGGTGAACCATTCTAAGTTAATGGCCAAAGGTTGAAAGCATACTTCGATGGTTTCGTGCAAGAAGAAACAAAGGTAGTTCATTTAGATGAATTTGATATCCCTCGTGATTGAAAACGTAATATGGTCAAGCTAGTGACAATAAAGAAGCGCTTCCGGGAGGCAACCCGAGTATTTTAGTATTTTTTCTTATAAAAAAAAAAAAAAAAAAGGAGAGTAAACGTGCCTGCCAATCAGCACGGACGTGCTGAAAATGGCACGTCCGTGTTTAGGAAGGCAGAAAGTTGAGAAGTATTCTGCCAAGTTAAGCACGTCCGTGCAAGATACAACACGTCCGTGCCAAAAGCAGCACGTCCGTGCAAAAAATGGCACGTCCGTGTTTAGGAAGGCAGAAAGTTGAGAAGTATTCTGCCAAGTTAAGCACGTCCGTGCCAAAAGCAGCACGTCCGTGCCGATAATGGCACGTCCGTGCTTTTACAGGCAGAAAGTTGAGAAGTATTCTGCCAAGTTAAGCACGTCCGTGCAAGATACAACACGTCCGTGCCAAAAGCAGCACGTCCGTGCCGATAATGGCATGTCCGTGCTTTTACAGGCAGAAAGTTAAGCACGTTCTGACTTGAGCTGCACGTCCGTGCCAATGCTGCACGTCCGTGCCAATGCTGCACGTCCGTGCATACCAAGTATTTAAGGCCGAAACTGCTCGAAAAAAAAAAAAAAGAAAAAAAGCCAAAATTTTTTTGTTCTTCCTCTCAAACCCACGGTTCTCCTCCTTCTCTCTAACCCCTCTTACTCCTCCTCTCAACCCTCAAACACTCAAATTCTCACCCAAAATTCAACATTTCCCACCATAATCAACACTCCTTTTCAACAAAAACGCAAAATACTACTCCTTTCTCCAATCTTCAACCCAAAAATCACCCATTAACCGAAACCCTAAGAAGAAAAAATCAATTTGGGGGTTTTCTTTTGGATTGAAATTTTAACAATTGGTTGAAGGAAAAGGTTCAAGCAAGGGAAAGGAAGGCTAGGAAGGTTCATTTGCGGGTTTTACACCCACGTTAAGCTCGGTATAATCGTTCCTTCCACTTACTATTTCCATACTTGAAACTTGTTGTTTTGTGCTTATTTTTGCTTACAATCTTGGTTGAATTGATAGTTGTTGAGTATTTGTGCTTTTATGTAAAGCATTATGGGTTTAATTGAATATTGTGAGGATTAATTGTTTAGGTTTTGTGAGTTTTTGTGATTGTGTGGATTTTTCTTTGTGGTGTCCTTTGGTGTGGCTAAGTCTTGGGTTGTTGACCTTAAAATTACTTGGTGAATTGGTTTAGTGTCTTGATCTCTTTGTGTGGCGGGTTTAGTCATTCTAAATAAAATAAAATAAAAACAACCATGCCAAGAAGAAACCAATCCCGAAACACCTCTTCCCTTAGATTTAGGAACCCATCGCCTCCTCCTCCCGTTGATCCACCGCAAGTGGACACAATGGGAATAGTTTTCGCTGACCAGGCCTTTTCGGCCAATTTCCTTAAAATCAGTAGGAGGCGGGTCAAGCCCACCAAATTCTATGATAGTGAGGTGGCGGACGCCTTAGGGGTAGGAGCTGACATCACAATGTTATTCGAGGGAGCCGACCTAGGTTCTTGGCTAGAGTTACATGCCTTAACCTATAGGAGACTGACCCTAGAATTCCTCTCCTCCCTTTGTGTGCACCGTGACACCACAAGATCCCCCCGTTACATGACCTTCCAGCTCATGAATGCCCAACATAGAATGTCCGTAGCGAGAGTTAACCAAGCTTTCGGGTGGCCTGTTTCTGGAACTATGGGGCCTAAGGATAGGCAACCCCGTAACTATATGGCGGGTGAATTTTGGAGAAGAATCACAGGGCTGTTTGGGTATAACCCTAGAACTGATAAGGCCACAGCCATTATTCACCCTACCTTTAGGATCGCCCAGCGTACCATAGCGAACACAGTTTTTGCTAGGGGAGACAGTTCAGGGGTCGTGTCTACTCGAGAGCTTTACTTTCTATGGCATCTGAGTGAGGGTAGTACGAGTTTAAATGTGGGGTCTTGGTTTATGGACCACCTAGAAGATGTTTCCACAGGATCAGGCAACATCACCATAGGTGGTATGATTACTATAATTGCTGCTGCTCTTAACCTTGATTTTGCAGAAGAGCAGGTTGTTCCAGGTCCAACACAGTTGGATATGCAGTCGCTGAGAGCCATGAAATGGCTCACGGATGTAGAGGGGAACCACTCCTATTTGTGGTTGGTGAGTAGGCGCCCCTATGCCTACTTACCCGACCCCGAGGCCACCGCCATCTACAACCAGGCGAACTGGATCTTTGAGAGGGACTTCCCTTGGGCTCCCGGTCAAGAGGGAGAGGAACAAGGGCAAGAGCAGCAAGAGCAACAACAACAGCATCAACAACAACATCATCAACAACAACAATTTCAGCAACAACCAGAATTTCACCAGCAGTACGAGTTCCAACAAGGGTACCAAGAGGGGTACCAAGGTCAGGGCATGGGTGAAGGCAACCCATTCCTCACCTTCGAGCAGCAGATGGCTAATATGAATGTGAACTTCGCCCGCATGACTTCCGAGTTTGAGACCATGAGGAAGTCAAATGAAGACTTGAGGACTTCTTTCGACGGAATGAGGTCAAGCTTTGAGGGTCTTCGAACGGAATTGGGCGACTTCCGCAGTGTATATCAGCATCTCTACCCCGGGGGTTCGAGCTCCCAAGGGGGCCCGAACCAATGAGTTAGTATCTCCTTCCCCTTCTCTTTGTGCTTATATTGTTTCAACATTGGGGACAATGTTTATGATAGCTTGGGGGGGAGTATTTTCTCATTTACCATTGGTTCATGCTGTGTTCTCGTACGTATATGTTGATTTGCATGCCCCTATTCCCATTTCCCTAACATCCAAACCCTTTGAATCCAAATTGCTTCCTTTGAAATCCAAATCCCTTACATTGTGAATACTTCTCTTATCCCTTATTTAGATGTATAGTTATTTTATGCCTAGTTTAGCCTGGTTTCTAAAAAAAGAAAAAAAAGAAAAAAAAATGAAAAAAAAAAATGATGAAAAAGTGCCCAAGGATGAAACTCATATGACGATTCGTGTGTGATTTACTTACTTCGCTTTTGAATGACAAGTTACTCTTAGAAAAGTGTATGCAAGGGTTGGAGTCATATAGGAGTTTATTAAACTTGATTGCCTTGGTTTGAACATGAAATGAAAGTCGATGAATGTTCATTTGCACATTAAGTTCATGAAATTGTCTAAGCACACTTGAAGTAGGTTATGTTTAGTTGATTTGCGGTCCCTTGTGCCCTTGGTGTGACTTCCACTCTTCCCAAAATAAAGCTTTGCTTGAGATTTATTAGGTTTATGTTTATTAAATAAATTGGTAAAATAAACCACAATTTCTAAAAAAAAAAAAAAAAAAAAAAAAAAAAAAAATATGCCGCTCAACAGTCAAAAAAGGCGGAGCAAATAAATAAAGTCTCAAATTCAAGGGCTTTATCTTATGAAAAAAATTTTACATTTCCCTTTTGAGGTCAATTTGTGGATGCCTCCCACACCCTTTATCTTTAGTTTCCTCTTGTAAAAATCTCATAGTAGAGTGTAGTGGAGGGAGTTTGTTTGTGCATCTTGGGAGGTGGACTTGTATTTCACTATTTTATAACCGAAAATAAAAATGTGCTATGACTTAGGAATGAGCAAATGTGTTTTAATGAACTAGTAAAAAGCCTAAGGAAGTGTTCCATTGCAATCTTGTTCAGCATCCTTCTTGGTCTCTAACTCATGTGTACATTATTATGATGTTGATTTTTGAATGTTGTTCACTTGTCTTGCTTTTGAATCACATCCCGATGAGTTGACTTGGGCTATAAAAAAAAAAAAAATTGTGTGTTGTGTTTGTGGGAGTTGTGGGTGATTCTCTTTGGAAACCCTCACGAGAGATGGACTCGTCCTACTAGGCGACTTGTAGGTTTAAACGGCTTCTCACTTTTGCTAAAAGTGATCGTTCGGTTTATTGTGTATGCCTACCCTTTCTTGGTTTAACTTTTGCTTCAACCTTCTATAACAAGTTAGTTCCCTCTATTTGTTTTGTCATGACTAGTTTGCTCGAGGACGAGCAAAAGCTTAGCTTGGGGGGATTTGATAACTTGCTATTTTATGCGGTTTTAGGGCGTATTTGAACCTAGTTTACCTGAACAAATTTGTGTTTTTGTTCACTTTTACCCTATTATTATGCAATTTTTGTGTATCCTATGCTTCATGGGTTGTTAGTGTTTTTGTTGAGATTTTAGGTCCAAAGACGACCAAATGAAGCCCATGGTTACCAAACCGAGGTTAGAAGCAAGGAAATGATGGAAAGAATCCAAGTACAAGAGCATCGTAGAAGAAAACACGAAGAAAAGGGCCCAGAAGACCGTGCACGGCCGTGCAAGATGTTGCACGTCCGTGCAGGAGTGCAGACCTGAACCCATCTTTCTGCCAAGGCTTGCACGGACGTGCCAAATATTGCACGTCCGTGCAGATGATGCAGCACGGACGTGCTTCCGTGATTATGAGGCAGCACGGACGTGCCAAATATTGCACGTCCGTGCAGATGATGCAGCACGGACGTGCCAAAGGTGCACGCCCGTGCTGCAGCAGGTCGTCTTAAACTGAGTTTCTGCCTTGGTCTGCACGGACGTGCCAAATATTGCACGTCCGTGCAGACCTACAGTTTACCCGTTTCTTGTTTTCTCCGTCCTCTTATTTTAGGGGGTAGTATAAATAGCCCCTTTGGACCATTTTAGAGGGGTTCCCAATTTTTTCAGATTTTCATACTCCTCTTAGTTTGAAACACAAAAATCCTCAAATTAGCATAGATTTTAGTTCTTGTTTTGAAGGTTTTCAATCCAATCATTGTAGAAGACAAGTTCCACCATTGTTAGTCAATTATTGAAGCTTCTAGTAATTTTTCTTACTCTTTCTTTCTCTCTTCTATCTTTAATTCTTGCTTTTTATTAATTGTTTGGTTGTTCTTTGCATGTTTGATTGTTAGATTCTACTTAATTCTTAGTTTTAATTTGTTCATGAATTCCTTGAAATCTTTAATTGCTTTAACTTCCATGGATTGTGAGTAGTCTAATTTCTAGGGTTTGGGTGAACCCTCAATGTAATCACCAACACTTGTTGCATGTACTAATTTGTTAATTGTGGGGTGTTAATTAGTTGAGTTTAAGAGGTTTCATTGTTAATTCTTGTAATTGGCCATTGCTTGAATTATTTATCTAGCTTCCTCAACGAAGGATCGAGAGATGAACTTGAGGAAGCTCCCTTATGCTTGATTGACTTGATTTGCCATGAGAATAGGAATTTCTAGTCAAGGGAATTTGCATGTTATCGTGAGGATGTTTTAACACTTGTTTCTTGCCCATAATCACGAGAGTAGGTTATGGTTTTGATGTCAAGTAATCCCTCTAGCTTGAGAGAGTAGTTGGGTGCATTTGATAACTTCCCCTAATTTATCCCCTAAATCACCATTTCTATGCATGCTACTTGTGGTCCGTGATGAAGTTGAGTGGTGTAACCCATGCCCTAGGCCTTCTTAATATTGTTAATCACATCTTAGAATTAGTTGATTTGAATTAGAATACTGTGACGTAATACCAACTTAAAACCCCCGACTTAATCTAGTTTGTTTAAACAATAACATTTGGTGGTTGATTCAACGCCTCTCATGGGTTCGACCCTTTCTTGCCCTTGCTACTAGTTTAGTAGGATCGAGTTAGGTCTTATTTCTTGATAGGTTGACGACGTCCTATCAAGTTTTGGCGCCGTTGCCGGGGAGGCAAAGTCACATTGAATAAGATATTGTTGAATGAGTCTAGATTTGTGTATATGTATATAATCTTCTTATTTTGTTTTTGTTTAAGCGTGTTTACTTTGTGATAGTCATTGCTAACGTTTTCCTTAGCTTTGTTTGACTGTGCATGACACGGAGGAGTAAGCAATCACCGCTTATCCCCGTAGATCCGGAGTTAAATAGAACTTTGAGGAACGTAAGAAGGCTCCTACAAGGCACGCCGGAATTTTCTCTAGCTTATACGGATTTCGAGTCGGAGGATAATCTTGACAACGAGCAAGAGATGGCCAACCCACCGCCTCCTCCACTTCTACAAGACTATGACCACCCCGATGCATTCCAACTTCGGAGTGGCATACTTCTTCCCACCACCAATGCAAACAACTATGAGTTCTCTCCTCAACTCATAAGGATGATCCAAAGTGAACAGTTCGGGGGGAGTGCAAATGA